ATCTGTGCTTGTATGTGTGTGTGTGTATGTATCTATGCTTGTGTGCTTGTATGTGTGTGTGCGTGTGTATGTGTATGTGTGTGTATCTGTGCTTGTATGTGTGTGTGTGTGTGTCTGTGTATGTATCTATGCTTGTGTGCTTGTATGTGTGTGTGCGTGTGTATGTGTATGTATCTGTGCTTGTATGTGTGTGTGTGTGTGTGTCTGTGTATGTATCTGTGCTTGTGTGCTTGTATGTGTGTGTGCGTGTGTATATGTATGTATCTGTGCTTGTATGTGTGTGTGTGTATGTATCTATGCTTGTGTGCTTGTATGTGTGTGTGCGTGTGTATGTGTATGTGTGTGTATCTGTGCTTGTATGTGTGTGTCTGTGTATGTATCTATGCTTGTGTGGTTGTATGTGTGTGTGTGTGTGTGTGTGTGTATGTATCTATGCTTGTGTGCTTGTGTGTGTGTGTGTGTGTGTGTGTGTGTGTATGTATCTATGCTTGTGTGCTTGTATGTGTGTGTGTGTGTGTGTGTGTATGTATCTATGCTTGTGTGCTTGTATGTGTGTATGTATCTATGCTTGTGTGTGTGTGTGTGTGTGTGTGTGTGCAGGACATGGCAGCCTGAAACGCAGTGCTCAGGTCCCCACAGAGCAGCTCCTTCTCGATCCTCGAGGCTGAAGTAGAACGGCAGGAATTTACTTTATACATAAAATATCAATGACATCAGCACATTTATATTTACATCCAAGAAGAAGAAATACCCTTCAGGAACTGTGGAAAACAAACGATTTTGAAGAGTTTTGTGTGTCAGTCTGTGTGTGTCAGTATGTGTGTCAGTCTGTGTGTGTCAGTCTGTGTGTGTCAGTATGCGTGTCAGTCTGTGTGTGTCAGTCTGTGTGTCAGTCTGTGCGTCAGTCTGTGTGTGTCAGTCTGTGTGTGTCAGTCTGTGTGTAAGTCTGTGTGTGTCAGTATGCGTGTCAGTCTGTGTGTCAGTCTGTGTGTGTCAGTTTATGTGTCAGTGTGTGTGTCAGTCTGTGTGTGTCAGTCTGTGTGTCAGTCTGTGTGTGTCAGTATGTGTGTCAGTCTGTGTGTGTCAGTTTATGTGTCAGTTTGTGTGTCAGTCTGTGTGTCAGTCTGTGTGTGTCAGTCTGTGCGTGTCAGTCTGTGTGTGTCAGTTTATGTGTCAGTTTGTGTGTCAGTCTGTGTGTGTCAGTATGCGTGTCAGTCTGTGTGTGTCAGTTTATGTGTCAGTTTGTGTGTCAGTCTGTGTGTCAGTCTGTGTTTGTCAGTTTATGTGTCAGTTTGTGTGTCAATCTGTGTGTCAGTCTGTGTGTGTCAGTATGCGTGTCAGTCTGTGTGTGTCAGTTTATGTGTCAGTTTGTGTGTCAGTCTGTGTGTCAGTCTGTGTGTGTCAGTTAGTGTGTCAGTCTGTGTGTGTCAGTCTGTGTGTCAGTCTGTGTGTCAGTCTGTGTGTGTCAGTATGCGTGTCAGTCTGTGTGTCAGTCTGTGTGTCAGTCTGTGTGTGTCAGTATGCGTGTCAGTCTGTGTGTCAGTCTGTGTGTCAGTCTGTGTGTGTCAGTCTGTGTGTCAGTCTGTGTGTCAGTCTGTGTGTGTCAGTATGCGTGTCAGTCTGTGTGTCAGTCTGTGTGTGTCAGTCTGTGCGTGTCAGTCTGTGTTTGTCAGTTTATGTGTCAGTTTGTGTGTCAATCTGTGTGTCAGTCTGTGTGTGTCAGTATGCGTGTCAGTCTGTGTGTGTCAGTTTATGTGTCAGTTTGTGTGTCAGTCTGTGTGTCAGTCTGTGTGTGTCAGTTAGTGTGTCAGTCTGTGTGTGTCAGTCTGTGTGTCAGTCTGTGTGTCAGTCTGTGTGTGTCAGTATGCGTGTCAGTCTGTGTGTCAGTCTGTGTGTCAGTCTGTGTGTGTCAGTATGCGTGTCAGTCTGTGTGTCAGTCTGTGTGTCAGTCTGTGTGTGTCAGTCTGTGTGTCAGTCTGTGTGTCAGTCTGTGTGTGTCAGTATGCGTGTCAGTCTGTGTGTCAGTCTGTGTGTCAGTCTGTGTGTGTCAGTCTGTGCGTGTCAGTCTGTGTGTGTCAGTCTGTGTGTCAGTCTGTGTGTGTCAGTCTGTGCGTGTCAGTCTGTGTGTCAGTCTGTGCGTGTCAGTCTGTGCGTGTCAGTCTGTGTGTCAGTCTGTGTGTCAGTCTGTGCGTGTCAGTCTGTGCGTGTCAGTCTGTGTGTGTCAGTTTATGTGTCAGTTTGTGTGTCAGTCTGTGTGTGTCAGTATGCGTGTCAGTCTGTGTGTGTCAGTTTATGTGTCAGTTTGTGTGTCAGTCTGTGTGTCAGTCTGTGTGTGTCAGTTTATGTGTCAGTTTGTGTGTCAATCTGTGTGTCAGTCTGTGTGTGTCAGTATGCGTGTCAGTTTGTGTGTGTCAGTTTATGTGTCAGTTTGTGTGTCAGTCTGTGTGTCAGTCTGTGTGTGTCAGTTAGTGTGTCAGTCTGTGTGTGTCAGTTAGTGTGTCAGTCTGTGTGTCAGTTTGTGTGTCAATCTAATTTGTACTTGGCTCAGGTTGTACAAACAGGATGTGACTTTAACCCCATGGAGCTCCCTCTAGTCTCACAGTAGAGGTTGTGTTCGCGGCCCGTCCTGTAATGAAGGCCACATGCAGTCAGTGTCTGTATAAGCTTCATTAGATCGTATCTCAGTGGTTCATGTAAGTCGTCTGCAAACACATCATGAGCATCGATGATTAGTGTTTAATGTTATAATAATGTAATCATAGAAACACTATCAATACATTTTAGATTTTAGGATCTGGAAAAAGCCTGCATCGGCCTCTTGTCATTTCAGAGGTCCCTGTGGAATGAAAACACAATCCTCTTCAATATTCAATAACACAACACAATACAATCATCTTCTCTCTAATCTGAGAAACAGACAGAGTGCAGCACGACAGCCGCTGTTTGGAAGGAGCTGGAAAAAGCAGGAATGTACATGTGTATCTATAAATATATAAATATGTTACTATTGTCTCTGTGCCGCACTTTGAAAACCTGTTTCATAAAATGTGGACTATAAAGAAAGAGAATTGGTAGAAAAACAGTTTTGACTGATGTGAGGATAAAACACAGTAAAAACAGCAGGTCAGGGGTTCTCAACCCACAGGCCCAGCTTTTGGAGCAGGTTCTCTTTGTTTCTATTTTTAAACTTGATCCTGAACCATTAAAAATGACTTTCTGCAGTAATGAGGAGATTTGACCACAGGTTATTTGTCCATAAATGTTTGAACTGGACAGTCCTGGCAGTGTTGCCAACTTAGCGACTTTGTCGCTAGATTTAGCGACTTTTCAGACCCTATAGCAACTTTTTTTCAAAAAAGCGACTAGCGACAGATCTAGACAAAGCATTAAAATCATTAAATGTTGTTAATGTTGAAATTATTTTTGTACATTTGTAGTTCTAAACATATTTAAGGTGTTTTTTACTCACTTTTATCTCTCCCACAACGTTATTCCTCTCTCCTACAGCGTCCGTTACAGTTATTTTCAAATGGCCAATTATGCAAATTAGGTGATGACGTCATTTAGCGACTTTTGGGACAGCCAATAGCTACTTTCCTTACTGAGGAGTTGGCAACACTGAGTCCTGGCCGTCACCCCCTCATCCTCACAGAGACAGACACAGAGACAGAGACAGACACTGGCACACAAACACAGACACAGACACAGACACAGACACAGAGACAGAGACAGAGACAGAGACAGAGACAGACACAGAGACAGAGACAGACACAGACACTGGCACACAAACACAGACACAGAGACAGAGACAGAGACAGAGACAGACACAGAGACAGAGACAGACACAGACACTGGCACACAAACACAGACACAGAGACAAAGACAGACACAGAGACAGACACAGACACTGGCACACAAACACAGACACAGAGACAGAGACAGAGACAGACACAGAGACAGAGACAGACACTGGCACACAAACACAGACACAGAGACAACGACAGACACAGAGACAGACACAGACACTGGCACACAAACACAGACACAGAGACAGAGACAGAGACAGAGACAGACACAGACACAGAGACAGAGACAGACACTGGCACACAAACACAGACACAGACACAAACACAGACACAGAGACAACGACAGACACAGAGACAGACACAGAGACAGACACAGACACTGGCACACAAACACAGACACAGAGACAGACACAAACACAGACAGAGACACAAACACACACACACTGACACTGACACAGACACACAAACACACACACAGACACTGACACTGACACAGACACAGACACACAAACACAGACACAGACACAGACACACACACAGACACTGACACAGACACACACACAGACACAGACACAGACACTGACACAGACAGAGACACAGACACAGACACAAACACACAGGCACAGACACAAACACACAGGCACAGAGTGGAAACAGTCAAACCTGCTGTAAAGAAGACTGTAGCCTGGACCCTAACCCTGTGAGGCACTGACCCCTGCCCTGAAGGTCACTACAGGCACTAATATGACCACATTTAAACACATACATCTACAGTACATATCATTTTAACATTGCACAATTGTATCTACATTTGTGAAAACATCTGATATTGCCACAACATGATTACAACTATTAGACCAGAGGCTGATCTTCAGCTGGAAACAGATGTGGAGAAATAATCCTTCCCATTTGATTTAGACAGAATGGATATTGAATTGAAATTACAAGAACATATGTATTGCCAAGCTGCCATTTTGTGCAAAACAAATACAGAGCACATGGGCTATGAAATGTATGGACTATTCTCCATTACCCACAATTCCACACTCCACCCTCTCTCTGCTCTTCATTTCCACTGCTAAGCACTTGGCAGCGCACGTCGGTGTGTTTCATAAGTGATCACAATTAGCACAATCAAAGACTTTTCCTCAAGTCAAACCTTTGCTTTTCTAGGTCTCAGTGATGCAGAGACCTATGGACACTCTGCAGAGACCTATGGACACTCTGCAGAGACCTAAGGACACTCTGCAGAGACCTAAGGACACTCTGCAGAGACCTATGGACACTCTGCAGAGACCTATGGACACTCTGCAGACACTTATGGACACTCTGCAGAAACCTATGGACACTCTGCAGAGACCTATGGACACTCTGCGGAGACTTATGGACACTGCAGAGACCTATGGACACTCTGCAGAGACTTATGGACACTCTGCAGAGACCTATGGACACTCTGCAGAGACCTATGGACACTGCAGAGACCTATGGACACTCTGCAGAGACTTATGGACACTCTGCAGAGACCAATGGACACTGCAGAGACTTATGGACACTCTGTAGAGACCTATGGACACTCTGCAGAGACCTATGGACACTCTGTAGAGACCTATAGACACTCTGTTGATTGTACATGTTTAGTGGTAGGGAGCACGCAGACACAGAGAGAACATGTAAACTCCACTCAGAAAAGCCCTGTTCCGATTGAGATTCAAACCCAGGACCTTCTTACTCAGAACCGAGATAGCTAACCACTCTAACCTTGACGCCACAGCGATACAGAGACCTGACTGACAGAATGAGAGCTCGTGTGTGAGGAGACAGATTCTCTTCAGACCTGAGACACTTCTTTGGTCAGAATCAAATGAATCTGAGTAGATTTGTTCCCGGAGTAAGCTGCACTTATCACAGCAACAGTTTTGAATGATTTAAGTGAGTTCACGACCCGGCGCCTCTGACAGACGTGTCTTCTGGTGAAATGGTTTGCGCTAAATGCTCCTTATTCCACACTTCCAGCTTGTCTGACTTGATTAATTGAAGGCAGACGGCTACGGGCTGTAGATATTAATTAGTTTGAATTTCACATCACACAGTTATCGGCACTGGGCTGAAACCACTTTACTGCCGCTGGAAATCATCCACGTTTTCACTCATGGCTGCGGTGTTTGGTTAACCTTTACAGCCAAGAGGAAGGATGGCCAATACCAGAGCAGCTCCATGGATTTAATATCATCCCTTTGTATGTATTTGGCATTCAGGATATTCATAAAAAACATAAAGAGACAGAAAAAAATCATGTAAATAAGATGTGTGTGAATGTAATGTATATGATTCCCCGAGCACTAACACACAGCTGTGGAACATGGTAGTCTATAAAACACTAACTATGTATTTGATGCTTAATTCAATGTAACAGGGCCCTTTAAATGCAAATCAGCATTGGTTATTCATCACAATGTTGATTGTTTTTAAATAGAAACATAATAGGCAGAGTTACAGAAGACTATTGATATTATAAGATAGACTCCAATCAGTATTTGCCACAGCGCCAGTGGCTTTGGCCTTGAGAAAAAACAAAACAGTTGTGGAAAAGTACTGCCTAGTGCCTTGTTAGAATGATGATTTTAACTTTAACCACAGTTGCTTCAAAGTGTCGAGAAATCTCCAAGCTATAATAAAATAAAATCTTTCACTTGAGCGTATTAAGTATTAAGTAAAATATCTCTGACTTTAGTATAATGAGATGTAAGTGTAAAGTCTCTTTAGCATGATGTAGAAGTCGGAATAAACTATGGTATATCCTAGTGCAGTAGTAATGGAGGTCGGATGCTTCTTTTCCGCATTTCTTCCTGCATTACCATCTCCAGCTAATTGGCACCATTTGTTCAACGACATCACTTGGGTTTGTAAATTACTTTTACAATTGTCACAAATTATCAAGCTCAATGAGTGGAATTGGCACGATCGGGTCCAAGTGGAGCAGAAGCACAACATGCAGAGACCGGATGAGGACCCCGGGGGGCGCCGTGGGGAGGGGGCTAGTACAGTGTAGCGCTACATGCTAATCAACCTGTGATTAAATATAGATTGGGCGACAGTGTCTCCCTGATGAATGTTTGATGAACTTATACTTTGGCTTCACTGTGTCCTCTAGAGGGACTCGACTCATTAAAGTTGGTGTAGTCGTCGTGAGACAGAGACACAGCGGCGCGGATCAGAAACAGCATTAATTATACATTATACGGAAGTGAAAAATAAGATTCTCTGTAATACACAGTGACTGGTGGTGTGTAAAGTTGACACGTTTAACAATAGTAAACCTCTTTGTGACTCTGGTCTGTGAAAGGCGGTATATAAATAAATATTACTTACTTAAGTTTTCTGTTCAATGTTCTGGAAACTGCAGCGAGTCCTGAGTGTCTCTGAGACTGTTGTTTTGTGTTTTATAATTGATATTTTTCCTGCTTTTTTCAGCCTGAGATGTTGCTGCAGTTCAGTGTTCATGGTTTTACACTGGTCCAGACCAGAGTATCCATCCATCCATCCATCTATCTAAGTATCTATCTGTCTAAGTATCTATCCATCCACCCATCCATCCATCCAAGTATCTATCTGTCTAAGTATCCATCCATCCATCCATCCATCCATCCATCTATCCACCCATCTATCCAAGTATCTATCTGTCTAAGTATCCATCCATCCATCCATCCATCCATCCATCCATCCATCTATCCACCCATCTATCCAAGTATCTATCTGTCTAAGTATCCATCCATCCATCCATCCATCTATCCACCCATCTATCCAAGTATCTATCTGTCTAAGTATCTATCCATCCACCCATCCATCCATCCATCCATCTATCCAAGTATCTATCTGTCTAAGTATCTATCCATCTCTACTGTATCTATTTATCTCTGTAATGTAAACAATATGTCCCCAGTATCTTGAGGGCGTAAGGAACTATTAGGTCAACATGAAAACAATCAAACACTGTTCTCTGACCCGTGACATCAGCCGCTCGTCTTCATGGAGATGGATCGCTTTGGTGCCGTGAGTTGTTCTTTAGCCGAGGCCTTTTTTACACCTCTCCATCCATCCATCCATTTTCTTCCCCTTAATCCATTTCTGGGTCGGGGGGGTGGCAGTCAGAGCTGTACCCAGTCCACAGAGCACCAGCCTCTCACTGATCCTCCTGCAGGAGGTAAGTCCACAGGAGCTGAGATCTTTCAGTGGGAGCTTCAGGCAAAGTGGGGTTAAGTGTCTTGCCCAAGGACACAACGACAGCAGTCATCAGTGGGAGTTGTGAAGTAGGTCTTATGGTGGGCTTGAACCCACGACCTTCAGGCCCAAAGGCCAATGCTCTACCAACTGAGCTACTGTCGCCCCCTTTTGTTTTTTTTTTTGTTTTTTTTTTACACCTCTGTCTGTTCTAAATATAGCTTAAAGACCTTATGCCGGGTTTGATTTATTTAGAAATACAGTTTTAATACCATTTTATATTAGAAGAGAACTACTAAAGGTTTCAAAATCAGTTGTTGTTTTTTTTGTCTGATCCCCTCAAATCGAAATAACCCCATAGCAACGCCGTTGCACGTTGTGTCGATGGACTGACAATCCAGATACTTGGGTTCAAATCCCACCTCAGACACTTTTTCACACTCAAAACGGCAATTTATGTGTAGTGAGCAATTGTCACCTGTAGAGGGCAGTATTGTGTTGGGCATCAGTGGAGAGAAGAGAGAAAAGGCAGTCCTGTGGCATAGATCCATGGTTTTCAATGCATGGGCGTTACCCGCTGTGACGTCACACACAGGTTAGAGCATAGACAACTTAAATTCATGAAAATTGTTATAAAATATTGGATTTTTTTTGCCGGAATCTCTTTCAGATTGACTTTGTCATGCAATTTTGATATCCACTATTTTTTTTTTTTAAACCCGTCATAAGGTCTTTAAAATATATCAGATCAGTTTGACAGACGCCTTCAAACTGCCCTGCCCTTTAGTCAGATGCAAACGATCCAATCAGAAAGTACAAGACTAAACTGTCTCCTGCGCAGAGCATATCAATAGAGATTGCGTTGTTAGTTACATGCTAGGTTGTACCACACATTTACAAGGAAGGGCTGTCTCGGTGTGTTTCTGCTTCAAGCTGGATATGAGAAAATTCATCATTTGGCCCTTTTGCCTGATTGGTTTGCTCTGTGAGGACATGTCTTGCCCTGGTCCCGCCCCAATACTCAGGTACGTATTAGTCCGGACTCAAAACTCACCTTTTCAGACTTTCAGACCTTTTCCCAATATGACCAGTCACACCCAACACTTTCGTCCACTTCTGTCATTTTCTGTTTTTAATAATGCCAATGTTTTTAAATTGCTGTTTTTACAGTGTCCTTGGTTTTTTTAACATAGACTGTAAATATTAACAGACAAAGTCACGCTTTCTCCGCCGTTCTAACTAATGTGCCACAACTTCAGCGGTCTATGGGCAGTTTCAAAATGGCCGCGGGGGCTGGAAAATTGTGAAAAAACGCATCAGTGCATGCGTCAGCTGCACGAGCCCCATTCATTTAAACGAGTGACTTCTAAAGTCCACAGCGACTAAACTAGAGTGGTCCAAAACACTCCCTCAGCATTGACACACATGTGGAACGGAGCTTTGGGCCAGGAGCCGACTTTTGGACCATCCTGTAAAGACGTTTTCGAGAGGTAAGAAGAGGCTTTATGTTAGCATTGGCTAATTCTTATTCCGGGTCCACCCCCACAGGCCTGGGGTGGTATTGCAGAATGTCAGCGCACAGCATTTTGGACACTTTTGAGCCGGGACCCGCCCCCACTGGTTTTTAAAGGCACTTATAAATGAAATGTATTATTATTGAGTGCTCTGTGAAATAGGTAACATCTCTGACTGCCGTCCCCAGACCCAGAAATGGATTAAGGGGAAGAAAATGGATGGATAGATTAATTATTATTATTATGGGAAATTAGTATGGAAGCCATGCTAAATGTTGCAGTAATGATTGTAAAACTTTAATACATTCCTATGCCAAAAGCTTAAAGTGCATTTTAGCATGTATAAAAGTGTCTACATCTTTGATATCAGTAAAGAGTATTTCGAGTATCAATCAAATAAGTACTTTTGTGTTAAAGTCTTGCTGTTGCTTACGATAACAAACCCATGGCACACGATGAATATTCCAAATCAAACTAAGAATACTGCATTCAAACCTGCACCGGGCACGAAACCAATCCTGCTGAAACGACGCACACAGCACCTTTTCTTTGGACTTCGGTGGAAAACATTTGCTGCATGCCAAGCACCTGCCTTGTTTCTCCGGTCCATCCTCTCCCTCGCCTCTAAGTGTTTGTCCAAAGTGGCGCAGTGAGCGAAATAGCGGCGGCAAATCAATAGGCCGTAGCTGCGCGGCGGGCTTATCTCCTGCAGATGACAGGCATGCACGCCACCGCCGCACGCCCCGGCCTTCCCATCAAAAGGAGTCCCATAATTGAGAACGCCGCAGTAATCGCAGGGACTGTTTTGTCTGCCTTGTCAGGATGAGC